CCAGACTCCAAACTGCACACGTCTGAGCACCAGGAAGCTGAGGAGCGGTTAGAGACAGAGCTGCTGGAGAGGCCGGGGCGGGGCGGGTGTCCCATACTGGCCCCGGTCACTGCTCCACCGTCCTCCTCCGTGCTGCACGCAGGCAGGGCTGGCCCAGGGCAGTCTGGGGAACAGAGAAACAGACGTAGGCTCCCAGGGCACTTTGACTCGTTCCCACCCATGACCTCCGACCATGTCTTCACAGCCCTCGGGGAATGGAATACTTGCCCCTGCTCTCAGTTTAAAAAAAAAAAAAAGTTTAATCAAAATCATCAGGGATTTATTTATTTTAATCATTTCTGTCCTCACTTAAGATTAACCCATAAGAGTCTAGACTTGCTACATTAGACAAATGTGTAAAAGAGAAAAAACATGATTCACATCAAGTTCATCTTTCAAAATGTTTCCAGACCAGCTAAAAAGGCATTTAGTAACATCAAACAGGACCACCAAGAAACAAACAAGCAAGAGGAACTGTGTGCATAGCAAACCACCCCCACCCCCACCCCCGGTGCTTCCAAGGCGCTGGCACAGTAAGACCAACTCCACTTACAGACGGAGCCCAGAGAGACCCGCTCGCACAGGACACAAAGACCCACCCGAGAGACTCCCGGGCTCCTCGCAACACGGGAAGAGAGGAATAAAAAGGCACTCCGTCCAAACAGCCACTTCAAAAATACAAGCAAGGAAACAAACAGGTTTCTGAAAACACAAGAGCAAGCTGGTCAGGGCAGCAGATCCGAGCTTCCGGAAAAAGAGGCAGGGCCTCCACCTGGTTCCTGGACCCAAGGAGACATGAGGAAGAGCCCTCCCAGTGCTGTTCCAGTCCTTCGGGACTAAATGCACTTTGCAGAGGTGGGCGGTGAGGGGCCAGCCCACCCGGGAAGACGGAAGCAGGTGCCCTGTCCACATTCAAGGGCAAGACTCTGCAGGGTCAGGTGCGGACCTCTCTCACCCGGACCCACAACCCTTCCCATCCAACATCCCTCCCGCACATTCCTCCAACCTTCCTCCTCCCACTTCAGGGTTTTTCTGTGGCTGCTCTAACGGTCCTCCACACACAGCCTGAAACGCACTTATTATCTTAAAGTCTGGAGGTCAGAGTCCAAGGCAGTTCTCACGGGACTAAAGTGTAGGTGTTGGCCACTGCACTCATTTCTGGACGCTCTGGGGAGAGTCCACGTCCTGCTCATGCAGGCTGTTGGCAGAATCCAGTTCCCTGCGGTTGTAGGACCGAGGTTCCCGCCGGCTGCAAGCAGAAGGTCACTCCAAATGCTGGAGGCCACCGCACCCCCCGGCTCATGGCCCCCGCCTCCACTTTCAGAGCCAGCGACAAGACAAGCGTCCATCTGCTGTTGATTCTGACCACTTTTAAGCGCTCACTCCATTCTACTGGACCCACCAGGCCACCCAGGAAAAGGTACCACCTCAGGGTCAGCAGATCTGCACCTTCCACTCTTTGGCCATGTGGTCTGGTTCCAGGTTCCAGGGATAAGGATGCAGACATCTTTGGGGTTCATCATTCTGCAACCACGCCCCATCCCTCAGGCCAGAACCCTGGTGATCGCCACCCTTCAGTGCTTCATGGCGGCCCTTTTCTATGGCCTTCCGAGCCCTGCCCACCTCCCACCCCTCTTCTCACAAGGCTCCCCTCCTGCCGTCCTCCTCCCCAGCCCCAGGGTCCCCGCAGCACCCTTCCCCTGCCAGGAGTGCTCTGACGCCCACCCTGCATCTCCGCATCTGTGCATCTCTGTGGGCTGGCTCCCTCTCCACCTAGAGGTCTCAGGTCAGGCATGACCTCTTCTGGAAGGGCATGGCCTTCCATTGACGCAGGGTCCTGTGCTTCTGCCAACGCCCCCAATGATGACCTTCGAAGAACATACCAATGTGCTTACCGTCTCCCTCACCCCAGCAGCCTCTGAGAGCCACATCTCTTGGCTCAGCATTCAGCACGGGACCTGGCACACAGAATGCGTTCTGAACGAATGAACTGTCCCCCCAACAAGTCCTCCCCTCAGCTGATGAGTGATGGCGGCCTGTTACAGTGACGGTGGAGCTGATGTCTCACCGGCTCGGAGACTCCTCGGGCTGTGGCCGCTGGAAGCTGAAAGCTGTCGGAGCCACAACACCGTGAGCTGTCTTCTCCTCCAGCTCCACCCCAAGCACCCACAGCCTTGCCGATTCAGTCTGGGCCCTTCCTGCCTCCATCCCGCTCACAAAGGTCGCCCTCCACAGGCCCCACCGCCCGCACGGCCTCCTGTGCACAGCGCTCGCGGCCCCGGCGGACCCACGCCGGAGGGCCGTCTGCGCTCGCACCGCGGTGGGCGGTGACTTCGTCCTGCCACTGACAGCTAAGTGTGGCAAGAGTGCCACCCACAACTGCAGAGGGCAGCCGCCCCTCGGAGCCAAGTGGGTCGCTGGCCCAAGAGAGAACCAGCCCCAGAGAGTCACAGACTGAACACGTCCTGATCCCCACCACCCGCCCTCTGATTCTTGCAACACCACCGTCCTCTCTCACCCGGACGTTCACCACAGCCTCCGAACTGGTCTCCCTGCGTCCGTCCTTCCCTCCCAGCCCCTAACCTGCCATCCACCCAGAGGCCAAAGGGATCCTGCCTCACCTCTGCCAAGACCATCCAAAGCGCTCCCCCATCAGAGTAAGAGACAGGAAGCCCACGTCTTTCCACTGTGACCACGAGGCCCGCCCCCACCAGCTTCCGGACCTCGTGCCCCAGGACTCTCCCCCTACTCCCTTGGCTCCAGGCACCAGGCCCCCCGCTCTTCTCGAGCACACCGCTGTCGCTCCCAACCGGGGGCTTTCCACTGGCCCTCTGCCCAGACCACTGTCCTCCCAGCCACCCAGGGGGCCTGTTCGCTCCCCTCCTGTGAGTCCTGCTCAAATGTTACCTCCTCTGTGAGACCTTCTCTGGCCACCTTATCACCGGGAAACCCTCCCCACTCCACACGCCTCCCAATCCCAATTCTCTGCTTGAGGTTTCAATAACAGGATAACAGTTCCCACCTTCTCAGGGGTAACTCTCTTCTTAACTTAGTCATGGTCTCTATTCTCTGCCCCTCCAGCTCCGCTGTAAGCTCTGAGACAGCACTGGTTCTGATCTGTTTTGTTCACTGGTGTATCTCTAGCCCCTGGAACTGTTACTGGCACCAAGAGTTGGTTAAACAAATATCTACTGAATGAATGAATTTTCAAACTCTCAAAGCTCCTCCAAGAGGCCCTCTCTCGTGCTCATCAAAGAGAATCGGACCAGACCGAACAAATATGTGCCTGGAGATCTCAGCCACTTAGGTCTCATCCAGCTTCAGCAGGTTACACTGGCAGAAACTGATGGCCCCAGGGGTGACATGACCTGGTGAAAGTCACACAGAGATTAATAGAAAAAAAAAGGCTGAAACCCAGACCACAGAACCAAGTCAGAGGTGCTTCCACCACATCACACATCCTGCTTCATCCAGAAGTTTCTAAGAAAGCCCCAGCCAAATAGACAACCTAAGGACCAGCATGAATAGAGGAGGGGGGGCTACTGGCAAGACCACCTCTCATGCAGTGTGAGACCCTGGCCAAATCACCTACTAGAGATACACCAGTGACACAGTTTCTTTGGTAAGACTCCATAATTTAAAAGATGATGGCAGGGCGCCTGGGTGGCTCAGTCGGTTGGGCGACTGCCTTCGGCTCGGGTCACAATCCTGGAGTCCCGGGATCGAGTCCCGCATCGGGCTCCCTGCTCGGCGGGGGGTCTGCTTCTCCCTCTGACCCTCCCCCTTCTCATGCTCTCTCTCTCTTAAATAAATAAAATCATGGGGCGCCTGGGTGGCTCAGTTGGTTGGGCGACTGCCTTCGGCTCGGGTCACGATCCTGGAGTCCCGGGATCGAGTCCTGCATCGGGCTCCCTGCTCGGCGGGGGGTCTGCTTCTCCCTCTGGCCCTCCCCCCTCTCATGTGCTCTCTCTTTCTCTCTCAAATACATAAATAAAATCTTTAAAAAAGAAAAAGTAATCTTGACATCCGTTTCTCTCTAATCTAAGTTCGCCAGGCACTGTCCACGCACTGTCTTCACCTTCCCCGGGGCGCGGGCCGGGGATCAGCCGCACGCTGATCAGGACTTTGGAGCCGAACAGCTTCCAGGGTGCACCCGGGTCATTGCACGCACTTCATTTTTTGTTTAATTTCTTTTTCTTAATTCGCTTCCTGCTGCGGACTCAAGAAAGGAGTTGGTTTTGCGGCCGGAAGGTGGGGTACGTGGAAATTCACAGGGAGGCTCAAATCTACCGGAGCGAGTCCTCGAGCTCGAGGCCAAACGCAGCCGAGCGCAGGAGGGACAAGAAGGCCATTCAAGAGGGTCCCACCACCGCGCCCCCCCGGAGAGGCGATCGCCCGGCAAGCGCAGCCGAGCGCGGGAGGGACAAGAAGGCCATTCAAGGGGGTCCCACCGCCGCGCCCCCCCGGAGAGGCGATCGCCCGGCAAGCGCAGCCGAGCGCGGGAGGGACAAGAAAGCCATTCAAGGGAGTCCCACCGCCGCGCCCCCCGGAGAGGCGATCGCCCGGCAAGCGCAGCCCGCGCGGCCAGCGGGCCAGGTCCGCACTCCCCGAACCCTTCGCAGCGCGACCCGAGTCGGTCCCCTTCGGCTTCCCAGGGCGCCCGGGATGTCACCGAGGAGAGCCTGCCGAGGAGTGTCACCGAGGAGAGCCTGCGGCCTCGGAAAGCCTCGCGACCAGCTGCTCCTCCTCCCTTCAAGCCTCGGTCTGCGCGCAGCCCCCGTCACCGCCCAGACCCTGCGCTCGAGCCCCCCGGCCCCCCAACGTCCCTCTCGTCCCCAGCAGCCCTCTCGCAGCCCAGCTCACCCCTCCCCAGACCCCCGACTCCACCCGCAGCCCCGCGGGCCCACGCGCCCGCCCGACCTCTGAGCCCTGACACCGACCGGCCTCCCCGTCACACCCACCTGCCCGAGACTTCGCCGTTGCTGCGCCTCCAGAACCGCTTCCGGGCCCCGTCGCCGGCCACGGCCCCTCCTCCTCCCTCAGGCCCGCGGCCCGACACCTCGAGCGCGGCCGGCCAGGCCCGGGGGCCCTTTCCTGCACCCCGAGTGGCCCCTCAGCGGCCCCCGGACGCCCGAGCCCAGCGCCCAGAGGCTCTTCCGCCTGCTCCCGGAAGTCCCGCCTCCGCGCGCCCGGAAGTCCCGCCTCCGCCCCGGCGCGCCGGACGCAAGGCGCGGGCGTGACGGCATTCAAGGGCGACGCCGGGGAGGGAGTGTGGCGGCTGCCGTGCGGGCGGCGGGGGTCCGTGTGGTGGCGGCTGGCTGGGGCCCCCGTCCGGCTCTGTGCTCTGCCGCCGGGCGAGGCGGCGGGAGGGTCCGGGGCGCGCGGAGGCAGCGAGGGGCAGCGGGGTCGGCGGAGCGGGGGGGGGGGGGGTGCCTGGGGGTCGCGGAACCCGGCGCAGGAAGCCCCCGGCAGGGTTTTCGAAGAGTCGGCGCGAAGCGGAGCGGAGGGAGAGTCCGTCTACACTGGTGGGGCGCCGGGCGGCTCAGTCGGCCCGCCATCTGCCTTGGACTCAGGTCATGACCCCAGAGCCCAGAGGCTCTTCCGCTTGCTCCCGGAAGTCCCGCCTCCGCGCGCCCGGAAGTCCCGCCTCCGCCCAGGCGCGCCGGACGCAAGGCGCGGGCGTGACGGCATTCAAGGGCGACGCCGGGGAGGGGTGTGGTGGCTGCGGTGCGGGCGGCTGGCTGGGGCCCCGTCCGGCTCTGTGCTCTGCCGCCGGGCGAGGCGGCGGGAGGGCCCGGGGCGCGCGGAGGCAGCGAGGGGCAGCGGGGTCGGCGGAGCGGGGGGGGGGGGGCGCCTGGGGGTCGCGGAACCCGGCGCAGGAAGCCCCCGGCAGGGTTTTCGAAGAGTCGGCACGAAGCGGAGCGGAGGGAGAGTCCGTCTACACGGGTAGGGCGCCGGGCGGCTCCCTCGGCCCGCCGTCTGCCGTGGACTCGGGTCGTGACCCCAGGGCCCTGGGCTCGAGCCCCGCGTCGGGCCCCCCGCTCGGCGGGGAGACTCTGCTTCCCCCTCCGCCTGCCCCTTCCCGGCTGGTGCCCTCGCTCGCTCGAGAGCTCGCTCGAGTGAATGAAATCTTTGAAAAGAGCGAGTCTGCGTTGGTTACGTGGTGAAATGACAGCTGCTGAGGTTATGTTTCGGTGTTTCGGTGTTTGCTTCTTTTAACTCGACGTAGCCAACGAAGATGTGGGGTGACGTGCGTGACTGGCGCTGGATTTCTCTTGGTCGCGGACCCGGACCGAGAAGCCAGGTCCTGGCCTTTCCCGACTGCAGGACAGTCCGCGGACGCACCTCCGCCAGTTCTCTCGTGAGACAAGAATTGGGCTCCATGTGTAAGTGTGCCCGTGCCCCTCGCTTACTGATGGGTAGCACTGATGGAGTTCTTGCCACACGCAAGATCTGCGCCGGGTTCTTTACATGCAGTACGGCAGCCGTATGCCCACCACCCCCAAAGGCTGCCCCTCCCGGAAGAGCAGAATGGCTCGCTCACCTCGCGGACACCGAATTTTATGCCCTTTCCACAGGTCCTTGCTCCCACCCTGCAACATTTACCTGACTGTTTTTATGATCTCTGTGTCCACAGGTAGCTTGTGAGATCCTGCTCAGTGGGGCCGAGGTCTTCTGCCTCTGCAAGTGTGTGTTGGATGAATGACAACCATGGGAACTCTCCAGGGACCCCCTTTTGTCACCATAGAAACTCCAGGAAACTTCTCTTTGGTGTGATCTTAATGGATCCTTGGTGATCCCCAGCTGACATACCCTCACTAGATCCTCAGGGCTCCTTCGTTGCATAGCCTGATGAGCTCTTCCGGGATCCTGTCCTTACATGACCTCAGGGAATCTCCAGAGATCTTCCAATAAAGTTTCAGTGGATCCGCAGGGACTCCCTCCTGACACAACCTCAGGCAGTCTCCTGGGATTGTCTCCTAGTGGAGCTCAGGAAGGCCCCAGGGACCTCTTCCCAATATACAGCCCCGAGGCCTCAGAAAGCCTCTCAGAGACTGGCTCCTAACAGCCTCCGGGTCCCCTGTGGACATCACTGGGGACCTCAGGGGTTCTGTGCAGCTCTTCTGGCTCATTGCAAGAATCAGCGAGGTGACGGAGCAAGATGGCGGAGGAGTAGGAGACCTGGATTTCGTCTCCTCTCAGGAATTCAGCTGGATAGGGACCAAACCATTCTGAACACCTACAAACCCAACAGGAGATCGAAGAAAGGAAGAGCAACAACTCTCTGAACAGAAAAGCGACCACTTTCTGGAAGGTAGGACGTGCGGAGAAGTGAATCTGCGGCGATATTCGGGAGGATAGACGGCGGGGGAGGGGCCTCCGTCGGCCGCTTCTGGCAAGTGATAGAGCCGCGGAGCACAAAACCGGAACTTTTATAAGTCTGCTCCGCTGAGGGACGTCACTCTGGTGGCTAAGCGGGGGGTGGAACCCTCCGGGAGAGTGTGGTCTCAGGACCCTCGGGGTCACAGAAAGACCGGGGGTGCCTGAGTGCAGCAGAGCTCCCAGGGATCGGAGCAGGGAAGCCAGCTGCAGAGGTGGAGCCCAGGCGCAGGCTCTCAGCTCGGGGTGGCCATAAACCGCGATCCGCGGCCCAGTCGAGCCCCTGCTCCTCCAGCAGGGACCCAACAAGCGGCAGATCCGGGGTAACTCCCCTTCCTCCCCTGGGAGGAGCGGCGCAGGAGCGCACCGCAGGGATCTGCTGGGTTTGGAGACTCCACACACGGTCGGGTGCCAGAGAGAGAAACGCGCGGTCGCAGGCCCGGTGAGCACGGAGTGCGGCGGAGACCGGGGAGACGGGAGTGACTGACGGCTTTTCTCTGGGGGCTCACTGAGGAGCGGGGCCCCGAGTTCTCGGCTCCTCTGGGGCGGAGATTGGGAGGCCGCCATTTTCACTCTCCGCCCCCAAAGCTGTACGGAAAGCTCGCAGGGAACAAAAGCCCCGGAGAGCAAACCCGAGCAGATTACTTAGCCGGGAGGGGGCAAGGGCGGGGCAATTCCGCCTCCGGCAGAGACATTTGGAAACCACGGCAACAGGCCCCTCCCCAGAAGATCAGTGAGAACAGCCAGCCAAGACCAAGTTTACCGATCAATGAGAACGGCAGAACTCCGGCGCTAGGGGACTACTGCACATAGAATTCACGGCTTTTTTACCATGATTCTTTAGTCTTTTAAAGTCAATTTTTTTTAACTGTCTTTTTGTCTTATTATATCTTTTTGAATTTTTCTTTTTCCCTTTTTCTACCAACATCTTATCAATCCCTTTTTAAAAAACAACAAAAAAAAAACTTTATTTTTCATTTTTAGAGTCATATTCTATCCCTTCATAGTAGTTACCCATATTTTTGGCTTATATATATAAGTTGTTCTCTCTTTAAAATTTTGAGATAGTTTCTTCTAACAGATTAAAATATACCCTAAATCTCTAGTATATGGTGCTTTCTATTCCCTTGCCTGATCACATCCTCTCCCTTTTTTTTTCTCTTTTTGTTTTTTCTTTTTTTAAATCCTCTTCTTTCTTTTTTCAAACAACTTCTTATCAATTCCTTTTATAACATTTTTATAATTTCCATTTTTACAATCATATTCCATCCCTTCATCATATCAACCCTTATTTTTGTACATATATAAGTTTTTCTTTCTTTAAAATTTTGGGAGGCACTTTCTTCTAAAAGACCAAAATACACCCCAAATCTAGTGTGTGGCACTGATCTATATACCATATAGATCATATTTGATCATATTCTGATTTTCCTTTTGTTGTTGTTGTTTCGTTTTGTTTGTTTTTGTTTTTATCTTTATCTTTTTTTTTTTTCTTTTTCTTTTTTCTCTCTTTCCCTTTCTTATCCCACTGCTTTAGGTCTTTTCTGATTTGTTTAGAGTATATTTTCTGGGGACGTGGTTATTCTGCTAGCATTTTGTTCTCTCATTAATCTATTCTCCTCTGCACAAAATGACAAGATGGAAAAAATCACCGCAACAAAAAGAACAAGAGGTAGTACCGACTGCCAGGGACCTACTCAATACGGACATTAGTACGATGTCAGATCTAGAGTTCAGAATCATCACTTTAAAGATACTAGCTGGGCTTGAAAAAATATGGAAGTTATTAGAGAAACGCTTTCTGGAGAAGTAAAAGAGCTAAAATCCAACCAAGTAGAAATTAAAAAGGCTATTAATGAGGTGCAATCAAAAATGGGGGCACTAACTGCTAGAATAAATGATGCAGAAGAGAGAATCAGTAATATAGAAGATGAAATGATGGAAAATAAAGAAGCTGAGAAAAAGAGAGATAAACAACTACTGGATCACGAGGGCAGAATTCGAGAGATAAATGATACCATAAGACGAAACAACATTAGAATAATTGGGATCCCAGAAGAAGAAGAAAGAGAGAGAGGGGCAGAAGGTATAATGGAGCAAATTATAGCAGAGAACTTCCCTAATTTGGGGAAAGAAACAGGCATGAAAATCCAGGAAGCACAGAGAACCCCTCTCAAAATCAATAAAAATAGGTCAACTCCCCGACATCTAATAGTAAAACTTACGAGTCTCATAGACAAAGAGAAAATCCTGAAAGCAGCTCGGGAGAAGAGATATGTAACCTACAATGGTAGAAACATTAGATTGGCAACAGACCTATCCACAGAGACCTGGCAGGCCAGAAAGGACTGGCAGGATATATTCAGAGCACTAAATGAGAAAAATACGCAGCCAAGAATACTCTATCCAGCTAGGCTGTCATTGAAAATTGAAGGAGAGATAAAAAGCTTCCAGGACAAACAAAAACTAAAGGAATTTGCAAACACAAAACCATCCCTACAGGAAATCTTGAAAGGGGTCCTCTAAGCAAAGAGAGACCCTAAAAGCAACATAGACCAGAAAGGAACACAGACAATATATGGTAACAGTCACCTTACAGGCAATACAATGGCACTAAATTACTATCTTTCAATAGTTACCCTGAATGTAAATGGGATAAACGCCCCAATCAAAAGACACAGGCTAACAGACTGGATTCAAAAACAAGACCCATAGATATGCTGTCTGCAAGAGACTCATTTTAGAACCAAAGACACCCCCAGATTGAAAGTGAGGGGGTGGAAAACCATTTACCATGCTAATGGACACCAAAAGAAAGCTGGGGTGGCAATCCTTAGATCAGACAAATTAGATTATAAATCAAAGACTGTAATAAGAGATGAGGAAGGACACTATATCATACTTAAAGGATCTATCCAACAAGAAGATCTAACAATTGTAAATATCTATGCCCCTAACATGGGAGCAGCCAATTACATAAGGCAATTAATAACAAAAGCAAAGAAACACATCGACAACAATACAATAATAGTGGGGGACTTTAACACCCCCCTCACTGAAATGGACAGATCGTGTAAGCAAAAGATCAACAAGGAAATAAAGACTTTAAATGACACACTGGACCAAATGGACTTCACAGACATATTCAGAACATTCCACCCCAAAGCAACGGAATACACATTCTTCTCTAGTGCCCATGGAACATTCTCCAGAATAGATCACATCCTAGGTCATAAATCAGGTCTCAACCGGTACCAAAAGATTGGGATCATTCCCTGCCTATTTTCAGACCACAATGCTTTGAAACTAGAACTCAATCACAAGAGGAAAGTCGGAAAGAACTCAAATACATGGAGGCTAAGGAGCATCCTACTGAAGAATGAATGGGTCAACCAGGAAATTAAAGAAGAATTTAAAAAAATACATGGAAACCAATGAAAATGAAAACACAACTGTTCAAAATCTTTGGGATGCAGCAAAGGCAGTCCTAAGAGGAAAGTATATAGCAAAGAAGCCTTTCTCAAGAAACAAGAAAGGTCTCAAGTACACAACCTAACCCTACACCTAAAGGAGCTGGAGAAAGAACAGCAAATAAAGCCTAAACCCAGCAGGAGAAGAGAAATCATAAAGATCAGAGCAGAAATCAATGAAATAGAAACCAAAAGAACAGTAGAACAGATCAACGAAACTAGGAGCTGGTTCTTTGAAAGAATTAACAAGATTGATAAACCCCTGGCCAGACTTATCAAAAAGAGAAGAGAAATGACCCAAATCAACAAAATCATGAATGAAAGAGGAGAGATCACAACCAACACCAAAGAAATACAAACAATTATAAGAACATATTATGAGCAACTCTATGGCAGCAAATTAGATAACCTGGAAGAGATGGATGCATTCCTAGAGATGTATCAACTACCAAAACTGAACCAGGAAGAAATAGAAAACCTGAACAGACCTATAACCACTAAGGAAATGGAAGCAGTCATCAAAAATCTCCCAAAAAACAAAAGCCCAGGGCCAGATGGCTTCCCAGGGGAATTCTACCAAACATTTCAAGAAGAATTAATACCTATTCTTCTGAAACTGTTCCAAAAAATAGAAACGGAAGAAAAACTTCCAAACTCATTTTATGAGGCCAGCATTACCTTGATCCCCAAACCAGACAAAGACCCCATCAAAAAGGAGAATTACAGACCAATATCCCTGATGAACATGGATGCAAAAATTCTCACCAAAATACTAGCCAATAGGATCCAACAGTATATTAAAAGGATTATTCACCATGACCAAGTGGGATTTATCCCTGGGCTGCAAGGTTGGTTCAACATCCGCAAATCAATCAATGTGATACAATACATTAACAAAAGAAAGAACAAGAATCATAGGATCCTCTCAATAGATGCAGAAAAAGCTGACAAAGTACAGCATCCTTTCTTGATCAAAACTCTTCAGAGTATAGGGATAGAGGGTACATACCTCAATATCATAAAAGCCATCTATGAAAAACCTACAGCAAATATTATTCTCAATGGGGAAAAACTGAGAGCTTTCCCCCTAAGGTCAGGAACGCGGCAGGGATGTCTACTATCACCACTCCTATTCAACATAGTATTGAAAGTCCTAGCCACAGCAATCAGACAACAAAAAGAAATCAAAGGCATCCAAATTGGCAAAGAAGAAGTCAAACTCTCACTCTTTGCAGATGATATGATACTTTATGTGGAAAACCCAAAAGACTCCACCCCAAAACTGCTAGAACTCATACAGGAATTCAGTAAAGTGGCAGGATATAAAATCAATACACAGAAGTCAGTGGCTTTCCTATACACCAACAACAAGACAGAAGAAAGCGAAATTAAGGAATCCATCCCATTTACAATTGCACCCAAAACCATAAGATACGTAGGAATAAATCTAACCAAAGACACAAAGGATCTATACTCAGAAAACTATAAAATACTCATGAAAGAATTTGAGGAAGACACAAAGAAATGGAAAAACGTTCCATGCTCATGGATTGGAAGAACAAATATTGTGAAGATGTCAATGCTACCTAGAGCAATCTACACATTCAATGCAATCCCCATCAAAATACCATCCACCTTTTTCAAAGAAATGGAACAAATAATCCTAAAATTTGTATGGAACCAGAAAAGACCCCGCATAGCCAGAGGAATATTGAAAAAGAAAAGCAAAGCCGGCGGCATCACAATTCCGGACTTCCAGCTGTATTACAAAGCTGTCATCATCAAGACGGCATGGTACTGGCACAAAAACAGACACATAGATCAATGGAACAGAATAGAGAGCCCAGAAATGGACCCTCAACTCTATGGTCAACTAATCTTCGACAAAGCAGGAAAGACTATCCAGTGGAACAAAGACAGTCTCTTCAACAAATGGTGTTGGGAAAATTGGATAGCCACATGCAGAAGAATGAAACTGGACCATTTCCTTACACCACGCACAAAAATAGACTCCAAATTGTTGAAAGACCTCAATGTAAGACAGGAGTCCATCAAAATCCTAAAGGAGAACACAGGCATCAACGTCTTTGACCTCAGCCGAAGCAACTTCTTCCTAGAAACATCGCCAAAGGCAAGGGAAGCAAGGGCAAAAATGAACTATTGGGACTTCATCAAGATAAAAAGCTTTTGCAAAGCAAAGGAAACAGTCAACAAAACCAAAAGACAACCGACAGAATGGGAGAAGATATTTGCAAATGACATATCAGATAAAGGGCTAGTATCCAAAATCTATAAAGAACTCATCAAACTCAACACCCAAAGAACAAAGAATCCAATCAAGAAATGGGCAGAAGACATGAACAGACATTTTTCCAAAGAAGACATCCAAATGGCCAACAGACACATGAAAAAGTGCTCAATATCGCTCGGCATCAGGGAAATCCAAATCAAAACCTCAATGAGATACCACCTCACACCAGTCAGAATGGCTAAAATTAACAAGTCAGGAAACGACAGATGTTGGCGGGGATGCGGAGAAAGGGGAACCCTCCTACACTGTTTGTGGGAATGCAAGCTGGTGCAGCCACTCTGGAAAACTGTATGGAGATTCCTCAAAAAGTTGAAAATAGAGCTACCATATGATCCAGCAATTGCACTACTGGGTATTTACCCCAAAGATACAAAAGTAGGGAACCGAAGGGGTACGTGCACCCCGATGTTTATAGCAGCAATGTCCACAATAGCCAAACTGTGGAAAGAGCCAAGATGTCCATCGACAGATGAATGGATGAAGAAGATGTGGTATATATATACAATGGAATATTATGCAGCCATCAAAAGGAATGAGATCTTGCCATTTGCAACGACGTGGATGGAACTGGAGGGTATTATGTTGAGTGAAATAAGTCAAAAAGAGAAAGACATGTATCATATGATTTCACTGATATGAGGAATTCTTAATCGCAGGAATCAAACTGAGGGTTGTTGGAGTGGGGGATGGGGTGGGAGGGATGGGGTGACTGGGTGATAGACACTGGGGAGGGTATGTGCTCTGGTAAGCACTGTGAATTGTGCAAGACTGTTGAATCTCAGATCTGTACCTCTGAAACAAATAATGCAATATATGTTAAGAAAAAAAAAAAAGAAGAAGGTAGCAGGAGGGGAAGAATGAAGCGGGGGAAATCGGAGGGGTAGACAAACCATGAGAGACGATGGACTTTGAAAAACAAAGAGGGTTCTAGAGGGGAGGTGGGTGGGAGGATGGGTTAGCCTGGTGGTGGGTATTGAGGAGGGCACATTCTGCATGGAGCACTGGGTGTTGTGCACAAACAATGAATCATGGAACACTTCATCTAAAACTAATGATGTAATGTATGGGGATTAATATAAGAATAAAAAAAAATAATAATCAGCGAGGTGACAGCAGGACCGAAGATGATGGAAGTAGAGTTCACAGAGAAAAAATGGACAGTAGTTAGTGACTGGCTGGATGCAATTATAGCATCTTAGATCGGTTGTCCCTATAGCTTGAGGATGCTTTCCTGCCTCAGGTCTCCTGGGGGAAGGAGCAAGACTGACACCAAGATTGATGAAGGCTTCAGGACCCACTGAGCAAAGAGTTAGTAGTGCCAATCAGAAACAGGAGAGCAAGGGGTCAGCCTGTTTGCAGCCTACGTTTATGATTGGTTTAGGATGACGTGGGTCAAGGTCACGGATGTAAGACCTCAGCCAAGCACGAGGTTAGAGGACAGATTAGTGTCCAGACAAGGAGATGGGAGGATCTGCCAGGGCAAAGTCACAGGAATAGGTCAGCAAACATAATCAAAACACAAAGCCAAGAAGAAACAATCCCCAGAAATAGATTTTGGCTGGGGAGCTTGGTAAGGATAGGATGTAAAAGGAGCGTTTGGTAGAAGGCCAGGTGTACAAACTGAGTATAACATATGTACAGTCTAGGAATGGGATCTCTGCAGGCATCAAACAGGACAGATGCATGAACCAGAACGAATGAGTGGAGCACTTTGTATTTATTTGTGCAACAAATAATTTTAAAAAGATTTGTTTATTTATTTGAGAGAGGGGATGGGGGGTGGTGGCAGATGAGGAGGGAGAGGAAGAAGCCAACTCCCTGCTGAGCGCGCAGAGCCCACACAGGGCTCAAACCTATGACCCCGAGATAATGACCTGAACCAAAATCAAGAGTCAGAAGTTCAACAGACTAAACCACCCAGGCACCCCTGTGCAACAAATAATTTTTTTAAATTTATTTGAGAGAGAGAGAGAGCACGAGAGGGGGAGGGGGGAAAGGGAGAGGGAGAAGCAAACTCCCCGCTGAGCTGGTAGCCTGACGCAGGGCCCGATGCCAGTACCCCAGGATCATGACCTGAGCCAAAGGAAATGCTTAATGAGCTGCCCAGGTGCCCCAACAAACAAGAAGGTCACTTTCACTAAGATTTAAGCTAATGGAAATTAAATCCAAGGACATGCCATTTCACACATGACAGATGGGCTAAAACTTAAAAATCTGTCAATGCCAAAATCGACAAGGATGTGGATTTGTGAGCGGTGCAGAATGAACTGATTCACTGCTGGTGGGAGTATAAATTGATTTAGTGATTCTCAACAGCCATCTAGCAATTTCTAGTAGTTAAGGATGCATATACTCTACAACCCAGCAATTCCACCCTTGGTGTGTACCCTAGAGCAGCTTGCCCAAGTGTGCAAAGACAAGAACATTCACTGAAACATGCTGCTTTTGCTGGCAGCGGGGAAGGCCATCAAGTCATCTCTAGGAGAATTGGTAAATGATACATAGCTATCCAATAGGATGGTATATGGTAACAAAATGAATAAATTAGTTACATATATCAACACAAATGATTTTCACAAGGTTAAATGAAAAAAAAGTTGAATATGGATGCATGCACTGTTTAATTCCATTCTTTTTTTTTTTAAGATTTTATTTATTCATTTGACAGAGAGAGAGAGAGACACAACGAGAGAGGAAACACCAGCAGGGGGAGTGGGAGAGGGAGAAGCAGGCTTCCCGCGGAGCAGGGAGCCCGATGCGGGGCTCGATCGCAGGACCCTGGGATCATGACCTGAGCCGAAGGCAGATGCTTAACGACTGAGGCACCCAGGCGCCCCTAATTCCATTCTTTTAGAGTAAAAAAGAATGCTAAACACTAAATTCAGGAGAGTGGTTGCCTCTGGGTATTGGTGGGGACTTTGATCAGTAAGTAAGGAAGTCAAGGGGCTTCAGTTTTATGATTATGCTTTATTTCTGATGGCCGAGGGAATGTATGCTGCTGTTGTTATATTATTTATGACTTCTCCCATGTATAAAATGTTTGATTACGGAGCTCTTACTGCTGAGTCTGTGAGCACACTCTTGGAAAAGGATGAGACAATGAATGAGCAGCGTTCACTGAGAGGCGTGGAGGGGTCGGGACAATTGATAAGACCTGTGACTGTAGTTTAAGGCGAGCGGGCAAGATGGGACAAAAATGCAAGGAGTGGCTCCAGGGAGAGGGAGAATCACAGCTGCAGCAGGGAGACAAAAATGGAGCGCTGGGTAACAGGGGAGTCTTGGGCATGGCTGATCCTTGCGTGCAGGCAGCTTCTTGGGGAGGAGAGGTTGAACGGTGAGGGGCCACCTGGAGAGAGATCCTGAATTGAGACCAGAGGGTGGAGCCTTTGCACTGTGCACAAACCAGTCATTGCACGGCTGCCCCCTGGGAGGGGGGCCCTGCAGCTGCAGGCAGCTCCTCAGAGGGACTTCTCTGAGCCATCAGCAGCTAGCACTCCCGGCCACGGAGGAAATGAGAGCCTTTGTCCCAAGGAGCGCATCTGGGCAGCACACTGTAGCGCTGGCTGCAGTCCACCTTGGCACCACTCGGATCCAGGAGCGTCACAGGGGTCACCACTGGAAGAACATCTCTAGGATTCTGCTTGCTTCCTTTTGTGGAAATTTACAAGAGGAAGGTTGACCCGATCTTGGAGCCCCTCCTCCTGGGTGGGGGAAGGCATGTCACTGTGGTGTTGGCTTGCATTTCCTACGATCTCATGATGAAAATCGCCCCATGTGCTCACTGGGTCGTCTGACTATCTTCTTTGGAGAAATGTCTATTATTTTCAGTGGGGTTGTTTAGGTTCTTAAGTTGGAGGAGTTTTGTACACATTCTAGATGCAAGACTCCTATGAGATTTGCAAATATTTCCTAGCATTCTTTGGGTTTCTTTACATTCTCTTGAGATTACCCTTTCATTCACAAAAGTTTTTAGCAACGTTGAAGTCCAGTGTCTCTGTTTTCTCTGTTGTTGCTTGGGCTTCGGGTGCCATACAAGAGACACCATATTGCCAAATCCAAGGGAAGGAAGATCTGCCCCTAGGTGCTCTTAGCTTCCTTCTGAGTGTTAAGAATTTTCGCTCTTAAAGTTCATTCTTGGATCCATGTGGAGTTCATTTTTTATAGGGTGGAAGGGAATGCTCTGACTTCACTCCTTCGTATGTGGATATCCGGTTTCTCAACACCGTTTGTTGGAGACACTGTTTTTGCCTCATTGAATGATCTTGGTCTCCGTGTTCGAAAACAACTGACTGTACATGTATGTATTCCTTGATTCTCAGCAGTATCCCATTGATCCATATGTGTTGGTCTTCTCTGCTCATACCTTTCGGGAAATATTATAATCTCGTACAGAGTTTTTCCAATTCTTAGGATTATTTGCATAGAAGATCATGTCCTATATAAATAAACTTTTTCTTCTTCCTTTCCATTTGTGAGCTTTTAGTAACTAATCTTGTATAATTTCTCTGACCAAACTTCCATGACAATATTGAAATGAAGTGGTGGACATGGGCATCCTTGACTTTTTGGGGATTTTAAGGAGAAAACTCTCAGTCTTTCACCACAGAGAATGATATACATATGAGTTATTTTTCATAAATATCCTTTATCATAATTTTAAAGAATTATTTATTTATTTATTTATTTATTTATTTATTTATTTATTTATTTGAGAGCATGCAAACCCAAGAGTGGGGAGGGGCAGAGGGAGAGAATCTCCAAGCAGACTCCCGACTGAGTGCAGAGCCCTCCCTGCAGCTCAATCTGAAGACTCTTGAGATCATGACCTGAGCCCAAACCAAGAGTCGGACACTCAACCCACTGAGCCACCCAGGCACCTCTCCTTTATCACAATTTAACCTTCTATTTCTATTTTATTGAGAACACTTGTTATGAAAAGGTTTGGATTTTGTCAAAGCTTATCCTACAACAATTGACATGGTCATGTTTCTTCTGGATGTGGTCTAGGACACTGATTAGATACATTGAACAGCCTTTGCATTCCCGGTGTAAATCACACTTGGTCATGATGTAGAGTCCTGTCAATGTGCTGCTAGATTCTGTCTGCTAGAATTCTGTTGAGGATTTTTGCCTCGCGCTTCATAATGGATTTTGGCCTGCAACTGTCTTTTCTTGTAAGGTCTTTGTCAGTCTTTGGAATCGGGACAATGCTGGCATTCTAGGGTGACGTGGGAAGTGTTCCCACCTCTTGTACTTTTTTCAGACTTTCAGAAGGATTGGTATTCCGTCTTCTTTAAACGTGTGGGACAAATCACCAGGGAAAGCATCAGGTTCTGGACTTTTCATTCTTGGGAAGTTCTCATGACTGCTTCAGTCTATTTACTTATTAGAGGTCTGCTCAGGGTTTCCATTTCTTCTGGAGTCACTTTGGTAGTTTGTGTGCTTCTCAGAATGATCTGCTTCATCTCAGGGAGCCAATTGGTTGGTATAAAGTGGTTCCATTTTGTCTTTTTGTCAATTTTGTTAAGTCTGCAAACGAAAGAACTGTTCTTTTCACTGATTTTTCTCACGTGCTCTTCTCTTCCATGTATCTCTGCCCTAATCTTCATAGTTTCCTTTGCTCTACTAACGTTGATCTTCTCCTTCGACTGAACCAGAGGAACCTTCGAACTGTTCCAGATGCCAGCCAGCCAGAGGGCCATTGTCTAGGTCTGGGTTGTTGGGTAGAGAAGCAATACAGACTGCAGTGGATCAGGCTACCTCGGCAATTTCTACCTCACCTGGCATTCCAGGTCACCCCCAGACCGTCATTTCAGGCTGAAGCTCTCCTCCTGCCAGGCATGATGCCCAGCAACAGACTGACCTGACTTCCCATGAACCACTCACGACCTTAGGGGACTTCTGTGCTCTAGGAACAAGCAGACTAGCTGAATTTTGCCAAGAAGCACTGCCCATGAGCAGAAAACCTGCATAGCTCAGGGCACTGTCTTCTGTGTGCTTCCTTCACACCTTCCCATGTGTGGGTCACAGCCACCTGTGCCCATGGACACCCTAGAGCACCCATTCACCCAGGGGGTCGGATCAATGCAAAGTCAGCCCTTCAATTCTGCCACCACACCCCCAACACAACACCCAAGACCAAAAAGAGCGCTCACTCCAAGTCCTGGGACCAGCTCAGATGCAGCCCCTACCTGCGCAGCAGGGACATCGCCTACCCGCTCTGCATGCTCCTCCAGCCCGATGTAGATGTGGACGACATTAGTGTGGGTTTTGTCCCAGGATCCCTGATGGCCAGGAAAAGGAGGTGACTGTCCCACCCTTTCTCCCTGACAGACATCCCTTCCTGGAGCCTGGGTCCCCACTCCACAGCCACAAGGTGCCAAGAAGACTCAGTCTCTAGAAGCTTCTGGGCTAGATGCTGACCGGGGTTGCCTTACACAGTCTGGTGTTTCTGCTGGCCTTGCCGTTCCTCAAGTTCCGGAGTGGACCTCCCAGTCGTCGCTGGAGACCTCAGGCATCATCTCAGCCTCTGTCAGCACCTCCCCCTCCTCAGCCTCCATCACATCTGTGGCAGCCTCGGACTCACACGAGTGCCGTGTCTCGGGGTCTGCAACCACGGCTCCTCGCTGCCGCTCTCCATGCAGCAGGTGGGCGCTGCTGCCTCAACCCCATCAGCCTGGACATGAAGATCGGCACCATGTCCAAGAGCATCCCGCTGAACTGGGCACGTGGGGCGTCCCTTTGGTCTCCTGACTCAGACGTCTCTGAGTAATGACCTCACTGGAACAGCTAGCTACTCTGACAAGAAGCCACCTCTGGAACTTCCAGGCAGCATGCCCAGGCCTGGAAGGACGCAGACGACCACCACGGCCCCCACTCTACACAGGAGGAAACTGCGGCAGCCTCCTCACCTCCGGCTGGTGCTTGCTTGGTGATCCATGCTTGGGTGGGGACAATAACATGCCCACCAAGCTCCTTCTAAATCTACGATGCTGTGGCTCTGGTAAGACTGGCCGGATTGTGTCCCCTGAACCCCCCAACCCGCAGTGTCCCCTAACTCCTCGCCCAATATCCAGAGAGCCCTGCGTGATCTGGTCTAGACATGCTCCCCAGTGTGCACCCCTCAGCCCACTCCAGCCTCTGTAGGGCCTTCGTCCCCCAGGGAGCCCGGCAGGAATTTGCCCCTCAGAACCCCTCCCATCCCTCCTTATGACGCCCATCCAGGATGGCCTCACCTCCAAGCCTGGGCTCAAAGGCTCCTTCCTCCGGCTCCTCTGTAAGCTCAGGCTTTGGGTCAGATTGAGCTGGGTTCAAACCCACAGCAGGGCCATGTCACGGCCCTGTGACTGGCAAGCTCCTGTGGGAACGCCTGGGACCTCAGTTTTCTACTTTGGAGATGGGGTCAGTGACTCCCACCTCAGGAGGATGGGTTGGGGTTGAAAGCAGGGAGATGAAGGTGCGTGAGTCCTGGATTTTGGGGAGAGGGGCTGCTGCCAGGAAGACAGGGGGAGGGGATGTAGAGGAGGAAAAGGCAGCCTGACCTCCTCCCTGCCACACGTGTCCCCATCACCCTCCCCTGACCCCCCCGCCATGCACTGAGATGAACACTGAAGTGGAACGTGGGGGCCAGGACAGCAGCGGGGGTATATTTCATTTCTCTCTAGTCCCCAGGTCTCCATGTCCACTCAGTCCAGCGGCCCTGCCTGGCGGGACTGGGGCTGGCCCCCGGCCTAAGAGGACGTGAGGGTCACTGAGCAGGCAGTGGAGATCGGGACACGGAGGACCAAGGCCACAGCCAGCCCCTCGGGGTTGCGCAGGCCTGCTGGCAGGTGGGGTCCCGCGCAGGCGCCGTCTGCTGGGCCGTGTGCGCCTGCGCAGGATCCACCTGCCTCCGACCCACCGTTGGTGGGAGGGCCCCGCCCACCCAGAGTGCACCTGCGCCACGTCCACCCAAAAGGTGGGAGCCGACCGGCCATGCTGAGCCATGCTAATGAAGGTCCTCCTCCAAGCCCTCATGGGACAGTCGGCAAACTGAGGGCAGGAGAGGCAGGGACTGGCCTGGGACCCACCAGCTGAGCAGAGCCTAGAGGAACAGGGAGGGTTCCAGCTTCCGAGGCCAAGCTTCACCTCGCAGGGGGTTTCCTTGGGAACGAGGGCCCCTAAGATCTGCCCACACTCCCATGTAGGGGCCTTTCCTCTGGTCACCCTCGCGCGGGCACACGGACGCACAAGGCTCTCTGCGTGCGCGCGCGCAAGCGCACACACACTCACACACACACACACACACAAACTCCCCAGGGGCGTCCAAGGGGGCGTGGACCCTGGAGGGGACAAGGGGAATGAAGGAGGAGGTTGGAAGCAGCTGGGCCGTGGGCTGTGGGCATTGTCTCCTGGGAACATGCCCGGGGCCGTAGCATGGGGCTCGGGGGAGACATGCCAGGCTGATGGCCAGGGCGTCCCCAAGATGCCCAAGGGCTGTCACAGGCACCCACATTCTAGAGACAGCACCCTTCCTACTCAGTTCACTTGGCTGGAGATGCTGCAATCCTGCTGTATCCCGAGGTCCCCAGGATGTGGTCTCAGCGAAGCCGACAGTGAGAGCCGTTGCCTCCACTGCAGACCTGGGGTCAGGTCCCACCCCTGACACCTCTGACCATTTGCCTGGAGGGGCCCAAAGGGAACACAGGAGGCCCAGAGCCAGCCATGCCAGCCAGACACCGCTGTGATCCGACCGGGCAGCCCAGCGCCCCTCTGTGTGTGTGTGTGTGTGCAGAGGTCTCAGGCAGGGTAGCCCACCCTGAGCAGGAGCAGGGTGATGAGGGGCCAGATGCCTGATGGGTGAATCATGTTGACACCCCGGGTCAAGGCTGGCTGGGAGGGACGGGGTGTGCTG